GGGGGGGGGGGGGGGGGCTGGGCCGGGCCCTGGCACCAGCTGGCACTGGGGACCTGTGTCCTTGTAGCCTGATTCGGCCCTGGCCTGCATTCGGACACAAACCGGCATCCTGGGGAGCAGGATTGGGGGATCCGGGAGGGACCCTGGGGGGGCCTTGCCCTCCCCTCCGCTGCCACCCAGGCTGGCACTTTAAGACCTGGGCAGGAGACGGGTGATGGCGACATTGCTGGTTATTTTTAAGCGGTTGATGATGCAGTTTAAAATTTCCTTGGAGTGTTTCAGTCCACACCCCCCTTCTCCATGCTCCCTTCCACCTCCATACAGACCCCCCCTCTGGCCTCCCCTCAGGCTGCAAAGGAAAGTGATGGCGAAGGAGAAGGAGGATTGCAAAGGGCCCTGCGTGGCTGGGAATCCTGGAGGTGGTTGTGCACCTCCCCGGCCCCCCTCCCCGCCCCTTCTCTTCCCGGGTTTGAATCACTTTTGTTTGGTTTATAGGGTTTTGGCGGCGAAGGGGAGGGGGAAGGGGAGGATCTGCAGCTTGGCTCCCAGGTGCCAGCGGGCTTCCCTCCCTCCCTGCCTGCCCGCCTCTTTCTGGCGCGGCCTGGAAAGCGCTGAAGCTCCCCCTGCCTGGGCAAAAGCCCCCGGCCCTGCAGTGCCCTGCAGCTCCCCCAGCCCTGGAGACTGTTCCCCTGTCCTGTGCTGGCATCAGGGTCTTCCCCTGCATGGGGTGGGGGGGGGTGCTGTGTGCTCTCCGTAGGGGCCTGCAAAGGTGCGGGGTTGGGGGGGCCCAGATTTCCTGGGGGGTAATACCCAGGTGACTCTGTTGCTGCAGCCTCTCTCGGGAGTGGGCACTGGGGAAAGCAGGGCTCTTGATGCTTGGTGGGATTGTTTTCCCTCTCCCCTATGAAACTGGAGGCCGGGTGCAGCGTGCTGGGCCCTGCCAGCCCCAGCATGGTGCAAAGCAGCCCCTCCAGTCCCGGCTTGGTGCCCACGTGCCTCCCAGTACAGCTGAGGCTGCTGTTTTTCCCTGTGCAGTTGGGGCTGGGTGGGGGGGGGACTTGCCCAGGGTCCCCCAGGGAATCAGTGGCAGAGCCAGGCGCCAAACCCAGGCTCCAGGCAGGCATCAATTCCCCCAGTCCAGCCCAACTGCCTATGGAGTAGGGGGCAGAGTCTCCAGGTTGGTGCAAAGTCCGGCATCAGGGGCAGGGTCCAGTCTGGGTGTTCACTTCCCTCCCCCAACAGCCCCGGGGTGGTGCGGCCTAGAGCCGTCCAGGCCCCGGGGGACACCCGTGCCTGCCCTGGGGGCTACAGCAGAAGCTGGCTGGTGTACGCATGGCTGTGCATGCTTGGGTGTGAGGACTTTGCCCCCCTCCCGAGGCTGCCGTGACCCCTGGGGAGAAAGATGCCTGGGCCCCCCCTTGGGTCTTGTGCTGGGGCCCCGCCTGGGCAAAGTCCCTGCCGCCTGGTTGCTCCTTGCCAGCACCCCAGGGTCCTGGTGCTCATGGGGGTCTCAGCCACGCTCAGGCCCCTGCTGCACAAAGGAGCTTCCATCTGGGGGCTGCATGGCCTAGCGGGTTGTGCAGGATGCTGGGGTTCTGCCGCTGCCTTTGGGTCAGTCCAGAAAGAGGACAAGGCCCCGTCTCCAGGCCTTGGGGCTGGTGAGAACAAACAGTTTCTGGCCTCAGTTTATCGGGCCAAACCCTGGGCAGGTAGATGCAGCCTGCATGGATGCCCCTGCCAGGTGCTAGGGTCCGGACACCTGATCCACCTCTGTAGGGGAGATGCCCCCGGGGAGGTAGGTCCAGGCTTCTCGGTCCAGGATCCAGTCTCTGCCGTTCCCCCAGGCAGGTGTGGGTTTGCAAAGCACCCAGCCCTGGGCAGGTGGGGCAAGCCAGACCCGTGCTGAGGCCGGCGGCTGCAGGGAGGCCTGGTCAGACACCGGAAATCCTGGAAAAATCAGGGTGAGGAAGAGAAGGCCAGAGGGGGTGGGCATTGATCAGTCTTCAAGTCCCTGAAGGGCAGTTACAGAGGAGGGAGATGGGCTTTTCCCTGTGGCTGCAGGGGATAGGCCTACAAGCAATGGGCTCCAGCTGCAGCAGGGGAAACTAAGGCTGGAGAGGAGGACAGACTTTCTGGCTAGCTGGAGGGGCTGCAGAGGGCATTGGGAAGCCAGTCCAGGTGGGGTGGACCCCTTTGGATCGGGGTCATGGGTCAAATCCAGTGTTCAGCACGAAGCAGCACCCATGCCCTGTGTGATGGGTGAATTCCCCAGGGTGGGGGCAGTATGAGGCCCAGGACACACAGGTGAGCAGTGGCAGTGCTCCCTTGAGGAAGCAGCAGCGTGTGCCTGCAGTGTTTGCCGTGGGGCCTAGTTCCAGCTGGTGCCTTTGCGCTTGGCGCTGTACAAAAATATCTATCCTCAGCGTGGAGGAGCTGCTGGGGGACCCCCAGACTCCTGAGTCTGGCCCAGAGCTGTAATTTTCAGCCCCGTGCTTCTCCTCCTCCTCCCTAGTGCTTCAAGGAGCTCCACCCACCTCTGCCTCAGTTTCCCCCTTTGCAAACCCCTGTTCCTGGGGAAGCTGTGAGCTTTGCATCGCACAGGGCAGGGGAACGGCACCCCGGGGCCCTCCTGGCGCTTCCATGGCGCCTCGTTCTGCTTAAGAGCTGCACTGGCCTGCTGGGCTCTGAGTCACGGCCCTCCCCGCG